TGGCATAGCAAGCCACTCGCCATTTTCCACGAATTGCCCCAAAGCAATTTCCGAGTTTTTTTCCCCAGTTGCCATTGGAGGAGCGTAAAGATATTTTTCACTTTTCTGCATTTTTCTTGCGGTTTTTGGCGGCCATAAATTAATTTTACTTTTGATTATTATTACTTCTACTTATTGTTCGCTTTTATTTTGTTGCCTGCTGTTTTCGGTTGCAGGAATTTATCGTCGAGTGAGGAATAAATTAAACAGGCCCCAATAGATCATGGACCCTGGAACTGTAGCGAGAAATTATTAATTGCTTTGGTATTACCCAGAAAACATGATCAATGATCAATGATCAATGGATGAACGTTATTAAGGTGCTTCCAATTCCGAGTAAGGTGTTAACTAGATGCTGATCCTTCTGCTCAGCACTTTGATGACTCAGTCAGGCAGTAATTTGGTCAAAAATATATTTATAAATAGCAAAAAATCTCAAACAAATCGCACAATCTCCCACCGGACACGGCATCCCTGTCAGGTTTTATTTTTGCATTTCCCGGTACGACATCTTGTCTTTATGTCGAATTATTTATAGCCGCGTTCCAGCCAATGCACTGACCAAACGGCCACACATCGCGCTCCATGTGCGTCACCCATAACTGGGTCAACAGTTCCGCTCCGATCCAGTAGCCATCATGGAATCGATTCGCTTAGCACATCTGCTCCTGAGTGTGATCCTCTTCAGAGGAATAGCCACAGTCATAATAAACATAGTCCAAGGGAATTCCCAAACAAAAGCCGTCATCATTCCACATCTCTCTCTCTCTCTCTCTCTGTTTCTGTTTCGTTTTTCAAGTTCAGATAATCATAATAAAGCGATAAGTCTGCATAGATCGTGAGTTCGGTCGATGGTATGTTATGGTATGGGCTCTGTTTTGCTTTTAATTTTTTGAATCTTAATGTTATTAAATGGCCCAAAAATTGTTTACTACCATGGCGATGTTTGTAAACAAAATTATGTATACGACGGGTAGTCGCTTGCTGCTGCTGCTGCTGCTGCTGCTGATCCACAATCAAATATCACAAAACCATAACCAATCCCATTGATGCCCTCAATCTGTTGCTCTCTCTCTCTCTCTCTCTGCTCCAGTTTTGCAGCTCTCTTGGCATTGTTTAAACTGTAGTTTTAATAAACATTTAACAATTAAACGCTGTACTCTAAACACACACAATAATCTCATGGAACCATCTTTTGTATACACTCGTAGTAGTGGCAGAAGGAGCAGCGTCCGCATTTGGATTTGTTTTTGCACACTGACCTACAACAACTGGTAAAGGCAAACAATTGCACCTAAATGCGATGCCACGCCCACTGATTATTAAACAGTTTGCTGTCCGCCTTTCGCGTTTGCGGACAATAAATAATCAAACAGGCCAGACCAAAGAAAGGGAGAGAGAGCAAAGAGTACACTTGAAAAAATGGGCTAAATTTTTTAAGGAAAGATTTATGAATATTCCAAGCATTTAAACGAAGAATTTTAATATATTTTCTGCACGAATTTGTCACATTTTCCCAAAAGGTAAACCCTTCTTTTTCACCGTGCATCTCGTTTATTTCCAAATATTTACACAAGAGTTGCTGCCCCGAAAATGATGCCGTCTAGTTAAACTTCTATCCCATGCTCTCCCCCTCCAGCGCCAGCCACTGGCTGACCAACATTTTGTTTAAATATTTACATATTCGAATGTGTGTGTGCAATTTGCTGCTTAGATCTCAAAATGATCTCCAATCTCCCTCTCGCTCTCTCTCTTTTGATTACGATCACGTGTTGCTTGGCCCACAAACAAAAAAAGAACCCCGAATTCGAATACACAAACAAAATATTATTTTCTTTTTTTTTTTGATTTAACTATAAACCTCTTAAGTTGTTATTGTTGTTTCCCACGACTTTGTTTGCCCGGTTTTGTAAATATTTATGCGATTCAAACGCTTAATTCCCCATTAAACGGCAGCACTTTCAGTTCAGTTTTTCCGCATTGAGTGGTTCCTGCCGGATATCGTTCGAAGCGTTCTCTGGTTGACAAAGTCTTTTGCGGGTGTAAACAGAGGATGGATTGGTGAAAACTTTCTACAGGTAAACAGACACGGATGCAGCGGCTCATCCTGTGTTTTTGCTTTGATGCGAAAAGTATTCAAATAAAACTTTGATCATCTTCCGCATTTGAAACAGGCCGCAAACGCTTCTAAACAATTAACTACATTTAAAAATGTAAAAAATATGTAAAAAAAATGTAAAAATGATATTAACAAAAATTCTTCTTTATCTTTTGGCTCTGGGATCTTACGATTTTGTGCCTCCTGTTGTGACCCAAGCGATTGCCACACTTTTGGCACTTCTCTGGGTGTGGCCATAAACACCTTTTGCCGCTGTGAGTGTGTGTCTCTGTGTGTGTAGCCAAGATGGCCGTTTGCCGTTGCGCAAGATGGCCAAGAATCTGCCGTTTTAGTCGATGCCATTGCCAAACTATGCCAACTATGGCAGCTATCGTAAAAGTACAGATGCCATTACCTTACCCCCCAGCTGTACCTCCACCTCCACCTCTCTGCCTCCCTCCCGCTCTATTGGCGCTTTCCGCGCCATTCAACTGTCGAAGCGGGCGGCAATAAAATTGAACAATTTATGGACTTGCGATCCATTTTGGTGCGCAATAATTGCGCCAAATGTACAAAAATTAAGAACAAGAAGAAAGAGAGAAAAGCTCACAGAATGCCAAAGGCAAAAGAGAGAGAGAGAGAGAAAAAACGCATGAAACTTTGTATGGGGGAGGCTGGGGGGGCGATGATCCTCGCACAAAAAGCCATTTCCACACTTTGGGGCACGTTGCCGTTTGCTGTTTAGCTTTTAGTTTAATAGCCGGTACTTCAGAATGCGTTGACTCACTCAAGCAGCAGAAGGGCAGGGGCAGCACAGGAAACACAGAGCTACAGAGGTTGCACATCAGAGCTGATACTTGGGGCAGGCAATCGACATACCCGATTCCGCAACGTTGGCAGTAATTAATCTCTCGCTGGCCAAATTTGGCAGGAAGCAGCAGCATCAGCAGCAGCTGATTATGTGATAAATGCCCAGCCGATCGGCCAGTCTGTGGGGCTCCCTTTCAGCATTATTCCTGCGATTGGATTGGGGATCTGTGGCATCTGTTTCATTTCATTTGACGCTCATTGTCGTCATTGGCTCTGTGTGTTGCTGCTCCTCCCCGCTCCTTCGTGTCGTTCGCTTTTCTCTTTGTTCTTCTGCCTGGCCTCCACGCCGCGCTCCCCTTTTAGCCGCTTTGTGCGTGAATTTTTTATGGGTCTTGGTCTCTGGCCTTCGAGGGCAGCGCACCTGTGAGACCTAAAAATATCCATTGATCCGAGTTGAGGGTGAAATGTGCTCGTGGCAGCCAGGGCAGCATTGAAATGTCATGTGATTTTTGCTCAACATTTTAGTGCTCAGAATTTCATGGAAACTTGAACTTCCTTCAGTCACTTTTCCTGCCTGTCCAAGGATGAATTACCCCTTCAAGCACCTTCAATCCACATGCTCAAACAGCACAAACAACTAATCATCACACGATCATTAGCGAAAGGAAAAACACAGTTCGGTTGCCCAGACCAATATCATGTTCAAGTGGAGAAAGGCCAGAGCACAGCATACCAAAAATAAATGTTAATTTCCCTATGGTTTAATCGAACGTCGGGCGACATCCTGACGCAGCAGTCGCCTAATTATCCACACCATAAATCGAACCAATTGACGACAAATATTTTGACGTGGCGCCGGGGCCTGGGCCATGGAACATGGGACATCATCAAGGCTAATGTGTGGTCGGCACTTGAGAAGCAGTCGGTAGCCCCGTCGTACTCTCCAGCCATGGGGCAGCTGTAACCCAACACCCAAAAACGCAAACACAGCAACCTTTTGAGGGCAAAGGAAAAGAGAACTGAGACACACACACACACACACACATGTCAGACGAAGTTGTGGCAAAATGACTAGCATTCAAATATAAACGAATCCTGCAAAAGATTTCTCTAACTTTTCCCACAATTACCAAGCCCAGAGGTAACATAAAGTTCCTCGATTGCCTCATATTTCCAATCAATTTCGAACATTTTGCCAACCCAATGAGGCCGCAGAATCGTAAAGAGAAGCGTATAATCTCTTCAACTAAAATTAGACGCTGCGTTTTGTTTACATTGGGCGCAAAAAAAAAAGTAATAATTACCCAAAAAAAAGGAAGACCACGAAACGAGAGTTGCCCATACATTACAGCAATCAATCCAAAGCAATGGAAAATTGGAAAAATCGGGAAAAAACATATTCTATGCCCAACTATTGAGCCGACAAGTGCGAACCGTGCCCGTGCCTGCTATGGGGAGGGGGATTTTATTTTATCCGTTGTTTACATTAAGCCTTGGAAAGAGAGAACAAAAAGAAGAGCCAAAAATACAGAGCCATACGGCTGCAACCTGCACGGCGACCAAACGTTGGAGGGGGGGCAGCCAAAGGCAGCAGCAGCAGCAGGAAACAAAATTCAGTGCCAGTGCAATTGAATTGCCATAAAAATTGTAGGAAGAACGCGGGGCAACGAGTGGCAGGCGCTGTGCTGGGGTTTATGGACCATCGAAAAGCATACACCCACCTTCGGGCCTGAAATTTATGGACTTTCCCGTTCTCTCTGAACTTTTGTCGCTGTGAAATCGCAGTCGATTTTGCGTGGGGCTGCCTCTCCTCTCTCTCTCTCTCTCTCTCTTAAGCACCTGCTAGCCGATACAATGCAGTTATTCCACAGAATAAATGCAACAATTAGAATTATAATTTTAACCAAAATTAGTCTCTGTATTTCTTAAAATTGTTTTCACTTTCAATTTGGCACTGGCATCTCTCATATGGCATCGTAAACTGCCCCTGGAAATTCACTTTTATCACTTGTCTTATGTAGTGCCTCCTGCCTGTAGTTTTTTGGGCTATTTCTGCTGTGATTTTAGTTGTTGCTTTATGGCTTTATAATGTCTGCGTTGCGTTTTATGATCTTGCTGTAAAATGGGGGCCCCCGGCAACACATTATTTCGCTCTCGCTGCTGGTAAAGGGTAAAATCAAATTGTACTCCAAGATTACGCCTTCTCTTGTCATACCTTCTATCGTTTGGGTTCCTTGTCTTCTTCAAGCACCTCGGGACTTGCATCCTTCTGTCTCACCTCGCACTTGTTCAAGAGTTTGCTGAATAGCCCAATGCTGGGTCCACTGGACACGCGATGCCGCAGGATCAGCAGCGTAGTTTTGGATAGCAGCAGAAACATAGCGTTGGATGGGGCAGGAATAGAGTTTTTGGATTACTAAAAATTGTGGTATCGGAATTAGAAGTGTGTTTCGCTTGGCCTTCTGCGATGAATTTGGTTTCGTTTCTCTTTACATTTTTATGATTTTACTTCTTGCCGCCCTTGCATTTGGGACCCATGGGCTGTTTTTCTGTGGAGGGGTAGGGGAAGGGATAATTACGAGATGATTGGAAGGAAATTAGACTTACTTCGTCCGCAAATGTCCTTATTTTTGTCATCTTCCTTGCCGCACGAATCCTCCTTCTTCTTGCAGGGATTCTCCTTCTTAGCGCAAGGATCTTTCTTCTTGCAGGGATCCTCCTTCTTAGCGCAAGGATCTTTCTTCTTGCAGGGATCCTCCTTCTTACCGCAGGAATCCTTCTGATTGCATTTGGCACGCTGAGCGGTCACGAAGATGTCGCTAAATCGTTTCAAAGTGGTAGTCAAGCGAAACATGTTTGCACTGCGATTAATTTAAATGTACAAAACCAAAAAAAATTCACGAATTTATGTTGAAGTTTCGAATATTACACTGGCTGCTGCCTTGGCAATGGAAAACTAAACTCAAAAACCAAATCCAGTTGTTGCTTTGTTTTTGGGAAAACTCAAGAAGAGTACTTACTGAAATTCCATTTGATTTCCCATTCCAATTGTCGGGGTTTATCCAGCCGCTCCCAACTCCATAATTTATTTTGGTCTACTTGTCGGCAAATTGAAGGCTTTTGAAAAAGTGCCGAAAATCAATGGAATGATGCATTCGACGAACGACGTGTGACGGGCGACAGACGATGTAAGGAGGGGGCGACGGGCGGGAAGAATCCATCAATACTCTTTAAACGTTTCGCGTCTGCAGTCTGCAGCTTCACTTCACTTTTGTCTGTTGGAATGTTCAACCTTTCAACGGGTCGAAAGAGTTTTCGAATTGCGTGCTCCCAAATTATCATGGAAATTAATCTTCTTAATCTTGAGTTTGCCCAAAACACAACCAACACATGTGCCAAACTCGCCCACTTATGCATGTGTGTGAGTGTATGTGTGTGTATGTTCAGATTAACTGTATATCTATTTCAAGGCCTTCCATTCCTTTCTTGTAATTGCCTTCGCTCTTGTTGTTCTTGTTGCTTCTTCTTTTTGTTCTCCTTCTTCTTCCAGTTTGTGTTTTCTTTGGGTTCTTGCTGTTGTTGTTGTTGCTGTGCGCAGCGATTGAAGTTTCGGAGCGATGCCGACGTCAAATCGTCAAATTTGTTGGCATCAGCAAAACAGCAAATCAATGAAAGCCATACCACGGCTACCGAAGCATTAGATACCCTAGCAGATCCATCAGCCATCAGTTATATGATAAGTAGGATGGTTTTTTTCATCAAATAGATACTCAAATTCATCTGGCAAGAAATAAGCATACTCCAAACCATCATACCCTCTGCGAGGGTATAACAATGTAAGCAGCGACGCGAAAGGCATGCGCTTTGCATGCGCCTCTGCAGGCGGGAGCGAGCGACCACCCAAAGCGATGAACCCCCTGACATGCACCCCCCCTCCTTGACACTCATCTCACTCCCTATCCTAACCGCATAAATCCATATTTCTCTAGCTGGATAAATTACAGCACAAAAGCAACACCAGCAGTGACTGCAGCGGGTGCAGCAGAGGAAGCAGCAGCCACAGCACAGAGCTGCAATCATTCATTCATACGGGATCGTCCCCCACCCCGCCGCTTTAACCGCTGCACATTTCGTGTAAACATGTGTAAATCATGACCCGTTGATGGCCTCCGCACCCTCCCTCATCCACACCTTCACCCCTCTCAACATACGACGTCTCCCGGTGGAAGTAAAACTTCTGCACTGCGAGCCCATCTTCCTATCCCTCTCTGTCGCTTTATCTTTTTGCTTAGATTAATTGGTTGAGGAAAGCTGGCTGTCCCACTCTCACCCACCCACGACCGCTTTGCAGACACTTTCTGTTCGTTCGATCTTCGATTAGTTCCCAAATGCAACTGCAAACATTTGGCCGGGCCGCACAGGAACCGCCGAATCATAATTTGAGTGGGGATCGTATCCCAAAAGCAAATATTATTTATGTCGGGCCCTGAGAACTTTTTCAGCGGCCTGCTTGCATATTGTGGGGAAAGGGGAAAGTGGCAAAAAGGCAGAACACAATTTCTTGTTTATTTTTCCCCGAAACGTTATAATAATAAACTCAGGGCATTGCAAAGGGCACACAGCCCATGATGATTATGTTGTTTGGCAGCCCACAATTTTTGTTTGAAATTATACTTTTCAAATTAGACCGCCAACGGTTGTGCACAACGAAACACAAGTTGGCAGCACTCTCGCGCAGAAGATCATTCTATAAAATATCGACTGGAGATGATTTACCTTGCAGGGAATACCTGAAACTATCGATGTTTTCCCAACCATAATTTGCAAGATAGTAATATCAAATTAGGGTTGTTAAATATTTTAAAAATATGTCAGTGATATATTTTGTTTTGTAAAAATTAATATAAAAGATATCACTGCAAAAACATCGATATATTCGATATTTTGATATTTTTTTTTGCTGAAATTAAATTCCGCGCCCTGCGGAAATAAATAGTTCCCATAGAGAACACAGAAACCTTACACATGTTTTTACCATCTTTAATAATTATTCCACTTTTTTGTGTTTTTAATTTGACCTATTCAACTTTTCTTTGCTTACATAAACTTTTTGAGTAAGTGTTTATGGTTTTTCTAGAAAACTCTGACAAAAAATGTTTCGCGGAGGTCTTTTCCGTTGGCGCTTGATATATATTTTGGCCCTCTATCATATACAAATTAAAAATCGAGGAACATGATTTAAGACTACTGTATATTTTTTAAATGAGAAGGTATTTTTAGGTATGTTTTATCGATATCGATCGAAAGTTCCATCGATAGTGCAAATAGTATAGGTATCTTAGTTACCCTAGTAACAATAGCAATCATATGTGTGGACAATACATGGACAGTTCCTTCACGTGCAACTTTATTGTGCACTGGATGACCGGTCATAAGTGAAAAGACAAATCAGCCACAAGTGTAAGCAAAATATTTAATACCTCTAACATTCGATCAATTTTATTTTTTAATTCTAATTTGTTTAACTCTTACACACAACTACAGTTTTTAACTAAGCATCATATTGTATAAATTATAAGAACATTTATAATGCAACACCTTGCATGCCCTCATCGAAAACCATCGATAGCAACACTCATAAAAAATATCGACAGAAGCACCGATCATACGCTTTTCAAGAAAATATCGACTGATTCATTAAATACCAAAAAAAGAAAGAAAACCCAAGTGAACGGATTATATTATCAAGAAATAAACGGCATTGCCCGCCCTAGCGTTAAATTAAAAGCGGTACATCGTGATCAAAGCCGTGAACTGCATTTTATATTGCAAATTTAAATAGCCGCTACGACTGCGTAGCCCTTTCGAGTGTGCGTACGCTTCTGCGCAAGTGTGTGCGTGTGTGTGTGTTGGAAAGAAGGAGAAGGAAACAAAAAAAGTGTACAGCCGACGCGCAGACGCATCTGAGAGGCGCCAATTAAAAGTGCCGAAAACGCCAGTGAAAACTACGAAAAATTACAGTGAAATCGCTGCCAACCTCTGGATTAAAGGCCGTAGTGCGATAAAAGCAAGAAAATGGGTTGTGCCGTGAGTACAGCGCGAGATAAAGAAGCCATCGAACGTTCGAAGAACATCGATCGGGCGCTGCGAGCTGAGGGCGAACGTGCCGCCTCGGAGGTGAAACTGCTGCTTTTGGGTGCGTCTCTAATGTGTTATTTCCTTATCCCCTACCAAATAATATATTACTCAGTATGTTTCTGAAAATGCAATTAATTTCAAAGTGTTTGGTCAGAATATGAGGCTTGGCCTGGTTTCTGTTGCTTCTCGACATGGGGCGGGGTGGGTTTTTCTGTATTTTTTGACTGTGGTGAGTTTTGCGCCCAGGATATGGGAAGACCCAGATTCGGGCGGCGGCGTTTCCATGTGTATGCTCAACAGACTTCCCCTTTGTATGGCCATTATGCAATGCACATGTCTAATAATTCGTTTTGCCGATAAGGGGAATTGAACGTAAATTGAAACCAAATGTCGGAGCGGAGCGGCGGCGACTGCGTTACTCGGATCTCAGTTTCATCGTCGCCGGCACGCACTTGGCTCCAACAAGTGGGGCGCCAAGCCATCGACTTGGCAACCGAAACATGTTTGTGGCTCTTTTGATCTGCGGTAGATGGTAGTTGGTGGTGCGTCGAGGTCTGGCACTTGCATCGTCAGCCCGTTGCATTCAAGCGTTGCGGCGCCATCGTATCGTATCGCAATTGACCCGACCTCTGCGTAGCGGCCCCTGCCCCTGCCCGTACGTCAACCGACACTCTCCGTTGCAGCGAAATGAAAAGCCGCGGCTCTCGTCTAACCTTCTGCAATTAAATTTCTACAAACTCCGCTACTATACGCCATTGTGTGCGTTCGTACTTTTCATTTTCATTGCCATGCAATTTGGAAAACAATGGAATGACGTTTTTTCCAAGCCCTGAGACAATCTTGTTGCACTATTGCCGCCTGCTGTTGATTTGCTAATGAAGCGTCGCCCATCATGATGATGATGATGATGACTAAGGCATCTGTTTGTGGCCAGGAATGTCGGGGGGAGGAAGTGAGGCTAAGCCAAGTGTTATTTGTGTGCTCTCGAACGATATCGAAAACACTGGGCGACATAAAATGGCTTGTGGAAAGCAGTCGAATGTTTGTAGAAACCGGTTTTCGGGAAATTTAGGGAAGCATTTCCCGACATCTTTGTTGGTTTCATCCCCTGGTGAACATTTCATATCCCCTCTTCTTTTATCCCCATACCATTTTCAGCTGTCCTAATAGCAAACACAAACCCTGTTGCAGAGTGTTGAAGCCAGTGCTGGTTTATATATGGGCAACTAGAAAACACCTTGCACCACTTGCATTTTTCAGCCTAACAATTGTTGCGACTTTATTGTAGTAGCTGTGTGGGTTGATTTTCCTTTACAGGGAGCGGGAAAAACTTCTTAGGGTATTTTCTTTATGCACTGAAACTACTATGATCTCTCCGATGTGTTTGTTGTTTGGTGTTGCTGCTGCTGCGCTTGCGGGATGCTATTTTTCAAACGGCATGCATCTCTGTCTGCCCAAGGTATATGGAAATAAGGCGAGGCAGTGCTTCCAGAATGGTCGCTTGCATGTGGAACGCCTCACCTTTTATAAATACACCTTGGATTTGGGCTGTCTGTCGCGCACTCTCTTCTTTGCACAGACTCTTTCTCCCCACTCTCGGACGCAGACACACTCTTACACACAAAGCATAGTGGAAGCAGACTAATTGGCCAGGAGGGGGGCTTTGCTGTGCTGCTGGTGATGTTGTTGCTTTGTCATTTGTACTGACATTTAAAGTGGGGTGAACGATATTAGCGCAAATAAATGGCCCCGCCACCAAATGCAGCTGCGATGGCAACTGCGGCTGTGGCCCGGGATTGAAACTGAACTCGGAATTGGAATTGGCAGCCCCCAACGTTGCGTTTATTGTGTAAATTTAATAAAAATGCTTACTATTGTCATGCGGGGAGTGTCTGACCAAACAACAGTTGAAGTGTAGCCCTCACTCAAATTATTGTCACTCTCCCACTCTCCCTCTCTTGCTGTACAATTTCTTCTGTTTTCTCTCTCACGAAAATATTTCATGTTGAGCGGAAAAAGAATGTCAATTGTTATTGTATTTTTTACGATATTTGCATTTACTTTGAAGAGTGTGAAACAGCGTGAGAGAGGGAGAGTGCGCTTAAACCGCATTTGGGGCATGAGTAAGCTTCTTATATACTACACACTCACACACATACACACAATATCTGGCTGCAAAATTATACGAAGAAAGCAAAAAGAACGAAAAAGCAAGCACATGATACCAAAAACACATCAAACCCCCAGACTGTCAACACAGCAACTTAATCAACAATATTTTTTATGAATTTATATACTATAGCAGATACACTTCAATATGTTTGTGCCCCTAGCACACCCTCTTATGCATTACGCTTATCAAAATTATCGCTAAACGACCTTTTGCGTCAGATTCGAGTTCAATAATTGATGGAACTTTAAATTATAAAACGAAAATAAAAAGAAATTCAATGATAAGACAGATTTGCGTGAAAGTAGCTGGGTTGCCGTTTCCGTTTTATGGCTCTATTTCATCTGATTTAATTGTTTACTTTTAAATTGTGGCTCCCCCAACTATCAGAAAATTTTCAAGCTCCCCGCTGATTAACACATTTCCCTTTTTTCTCTTCACGAGTCTGCTACCCCTTCGATAAGAGAGACAGAGTTCAGGCGCCATTTAACACGATTACTCATGGCGCAAAGCACTTCTTTCCGTATGATTGTTTCCATCTTTTCGCCAGGCCCGGGGTTTTTAGTCACCATTTCTAGTTCTATTCTACAAACATACTGTGTGTGTGTGTAGAAGAAGGTGCTCCCAGGGCAGAGACTCATTATAATACCGTTTGATTATGATCATCATGCGGATGATAATGAGGTTGTAAATGTGGCTTAAGAACGCTTTGTGCTAACCGCCGTTGCTGTTGCTGTCGCTCTCCCGTTCTCCTCTCTTTAGTTTTGTCTGCTCTCTGTGTTTGATATTTGTCTCTCTCTCTTTCTGCTTCCCTTTGGTTTGGCACAGTTAACGGTGCATTGATAAATGAATACGCAGCCGCACGCAACAGTCACACACACACACACGTGTGCAGATTTTGTTGTTTGTATTATTAAATTGACCTTTTTTTGCGCCGTTCGCTTTTGTGGTTTTCGGTTCGTTTTCATTCGGTGGCAAGTTTGAACATATCCACTAATGCCCACCATTGGTATGCAGATTGGCAAGGGCCTTCATCTACCGTTTTCTCGGTCATTATCTGTATCTCTCTCTATCTTGCTGCCTATTTTTGTAACCCCTCTCTTGGCCGGTCATTTCGCAGTCCCTCTCCTTAATGGCATTTTTCTTTATGGCTAAATTAGTGCGCATTGTTCGGACTTGGCTTAAATTAAAAATCAACTATATGATTTATTTGCAACAAAATAAAAAAATAATCATACACTGCAAGTACCGCCATGGCCCTGCGCTGCAAAGAAAAGCGAAAAGTGAAAGTACAGTCTGACGCTTACCTAACCATCACTGTATCTCTGGGAGCAGCCACACATTGCAGAAAAACGGCACTCACAAAAAAAAAAGGCTACAACAGAGACAAAAAGTTGGCTTAATGCGCCATTGTGTTGCAGGCCAGCAGCAATGCCCCAACATATCGTTTGATAAATGAAAAAACCCCCAGACCGGTAGCCCAGAGTGCCATTTCTGTTTGTTTATTTCTCACAATAATTTTTGTGGCAAAAGGGAAACTAGAAGGCACGTAACATGATTAAATGATTGTTTATCCATCGAAAGCGATACACTCAGCAAAATAATGAAATATCATGTTCTGAGCTTGTAAGTTGTACAAATTTTATGGCCCCGCAGCGCACTTTTGATAAGTTTCAAGTAACGCTAAGGGGCAGGGTTTGGGTTCATTGAACCTTGCACAAGTTCTCCGTGAAAAACAAAGTGTAACGAAATGAGCTTAAGAGTCGTAAACAATAGTCCAGCCTGCACATATCTATATCAATCTATAGCTGGAGTTGCTATTCATTCATTCATTTCAACATGACCAGCGCAATTAAGCGAGCTTTTTGGCCTCTTGAACCCGCTGCCAATTGAACCGCTTTTGTGGCATCGTTCCCCGGCGTTCCATTCATTCATAAAACTCGAGTCAGTCGGCACTGCCTGCCGCCTGCCGCCTGCCGCTTGTACCCCTTCCGATTGCTATTGCCATACATTTACTGATTCATTCAGTTGTACGCGCCCAATTGTTTTGGCGAATGTGAGGAGGGGTCACGCCCACTGAAGATTTGCATGAGCTCACTCATTTGGAACTCATATTTCTAATTTTGATATATTCCATTTGATTTGCAGGAGCTGGAGAGTCGGGCAAGTCCACGATAGTGAAGCAAATGAAGATCATACACGAGACGGGCTATTCGCAGGAGGAGTGCGAGGAATATCGCCGCGTGGTCTACAGCAACACCGTACAGAGCCTCATGGTCATCATACGTGCCATGGGCAGGCTAAAGATTGAGTTTGCCGATCAGGGCAAGACGGACATTGCCCGTCAGTTCTTCACACACGCCTCGGCCGCCGATGAGGGCATTCTCCTGCCGGAGATTGTGTTGCTGATGAAGAAACTCTGGTCGGACGGCGGGGTGCAGCAGTCGTTTGCTCGCTCTCGGGAATACCAGCTCAACGACTCGGCGGGATATTATCTGAACTCCCTGGACCGCATTGCGCAGCCCAACTACATTCCCACCCAGCAGGATGTGCTGCGCACGCGTGTCAAGACCACAGGCATCATTGAGACACATTTCTCCTGCAAGCAGCTGCATTTCAAGTGAGTTTTAAAACCCCCTCATGGACCGTTTAGAATACTAATTGTAATATCTTCACCTTTCAACAGACTCTTTGATGTGGGCGGCCAGCGATCGGAGCGCAAGAAGTGGATTCATTGCTTTGAGGGCGTCACGGCCATCATATTTTGTGTGGCGCTATCTGGTAGGTTTCCCTGGACAACTATTAGCTGCAGCTTTTAATTGGTTTCTTTATTGATTCACAGGCTACGATCTGGTGCTGGCCGAGGATGAGGAAATGAATCGCATGATCGAGTCACTGAAGCTGTTTGATTCCATCTGCAATTCCAAGTGGTTTGTGGAAACATCCATAATATTGTTCCTCAACAAAAAGGATCTGTTTGAGGAGAAGATAAAGCGATCTCCCTTGACGATATGCTTCCCAGAGTATTCAGGTAAAAGATTGTGCACAGAGAAAGCAGAGGAAGGTGTCTAATTTTGGTTATTTATTGCAGGTACCAACACCTTTGAGGAGGCGGCCAACTATATACGCATGAAGTTTGAAAATCTCAACAAGCGAAAAGACCAAAAGGAGATCTACACGCATCTCACCTGCGCCACAGACACCAACAATGTGAAGTTCGTCTTCGATGCCGTCACCGATGTGATCATCAAGAACAATCTGAAACAAATTGGCTTATTCTAAGGGGAGGAGTAGAAGGATGACAATGAGGAGTATGGGGATTCACCATTATTTAGCTTGCGTCGTAGTAGTATTAAAGGAAAACGCGCAAACACATTTCCATTAAATGTTAAGAACTAAAATATATATGCTCTATATATACGTAAATGTATACTCTACGCTTTACACATGCTTACACATAATTTTAATAACCGATTTGGTTGCCAGTAGTCGCGCGAAACAAGATAACAAACTGCAATTTAGTTAACAGTTTTTTATACACATTGCACGCTTAAGTTAACTAATTTAAAATGTAATTTAACAAGTGTAAAGTATGGGCGTTCGATCGCCATAAAGTCTACCCATCATCGGTTAAGCTTTGCCACCCAACAACGGGCTAATTGCGATGCCCAAACGGGCACTAGACTGTAGCGCCCCTTTGGCCAGCGAAATTGGTTAGTTTTGGTCATGAATTCGTGTGCGATCGCTAGTAAGCCTCTAAATGTAACTAGTAAACTTACTAATATGCTTAGTAATAGCTTAAATAAAAGACAAATAAAATAATGTTCTCCATTAAGGTGACCAGTCGATTTTCTCTACAGAACCATTGCCAATCACATGAAAAAAGGAACGCGAAAATGAGCTCAGAAACATTTTACAGACCGTGTTGCCTCTTTTTTTGCACAAGTTCCCCTCAGGAATTGGCAGTGCTACCCATTCGAAACATTGCAAATGGTTGCCTGAGTTGAAGTTGAGTTTTCCTTTCCTTTTTGGTTTGATCTTCGCTTGACATTCGTGTGAGGTTTTCGTTTTTCTTGACTTGAAAATTATTCATTCGTGTAAAGTTTACGCTTTTTCGAACTACAAAAATTTGAAAATGATGCGCGCTACTCTACTGGCCACCCAAATGGGTGGGATCAATCGCGCCCTGTTCGCTGGCCGTCAGGTCATGGCTACCGGTAAGTTGAAGCTGACTGCGCAGTGCTAAATTTATTTTTCATTGCCAAATTTCCGAAGATTACTCAACGCTGGTAATGCTGCCCCTAAAGGGCTTTGAAGGCGCCCCATTCCGTGGCTGCGTGCCGGTCTATCGCTTGTGCAGCGGCGGCGGAGGTGATGGCGACAAGAACAAGAAGCCGCCGACTGGCTTTGCCATGCCCGCCATTGGGACCGACTTAGAGGCTACAACCCCGCCAGGCGGGGCTTCCAAGTTGGGCGAAACTTTGACGCTGGAGGGCGTCAAGCCGATCATCGACGACGCCCAGGGAAAAGACAACGAGGAAAACCGTCTTTCCCGCTTGAAAAATATGAGCCAAGGTTATGACGGAGCCAAGGATAAAGGCAACGAGGAAGGGAAAGCCTACCAAATGAAACTGAAGGGCAAAGCCGAAGAAAGTTCCGGCAAGTCGAAAATTCCAGTGCCGGAGGCCAAACCCATAAGCCGCGAGGGCAGCATCGAGGAGGCAACTGAGCGTATCAGCAAGCAATTGGGAGAGCTGGTGGACAAGTTGCCCAACCAGCAGCAGACGGAGAAGTTTTTCTTTCGCACTGTGGCCTTTTTCTACGACCTCAGCTTCCTGGCTGTCACCTGGTCCATCCACTTTGTGGAGAAGAACATCTTCGCCAATCCCACTGTGAAGGCGTACTGGAAGAAGTTCCATGACAAGATGGAAAAGTCCAAGAAAGACTAAAACTAAACCCCTCAAATGGAGGAGCTTCTGTGATGATGTATATGCACTTATAATTTGATTATTAAATATACATCATTCTGAGAATCTAAAGTTACAGCAGGCACATGCGCTGTGCTATTCGAGTGGCATTTAAGCGTGTAGATTGGGTTTCAGTTTGTGGTGTAGCCCTCCAGTAATTTGGCCAGGTATTTCACAATCTTATTGCGTGCTGAGACCAGCTGTGGGGGATCAGTTTTCGCCGGCTCGTACATGTTGGCACAGTGTGCAGTTCCTGCAAAGAAATTCCATTTGAATTATATCCTACACTCAGAGATGTTGCCCCAGCTCGTACCTTCTATATAAATGGTTGGTGTCGCCGCATTTGTGGACTTGACCAGGCCCAGCGCATGCCAGGGATCAATGGAGCCGTGCACATACAGCACATTAGTCGTCTCCGGCTTGAGGGCACCGTAATGCTTGTTGGTCTGCGACACCACCTGCTCCAGATACTTGGCATCCATGCTGTTGGAGAACACATCCATGCACTGGCGTATGAAAAAGTCCACGCCAAAGCGGTCGCCAAATGTGTCCGTCTTGTTCTCAGAAGTCTGATAGAAACCGAACTCGTTGCAGGTCTGATACGTCCACTGGCGCATTCCCTTGGCCGCCTCCGAGTCCCACGAGACATTCTGCATGTCGGCAACCATCTTATCGTACTTGTAGTCGAGGCATGTGGCATTCGATTGCTTCAACAGCAGGCCATTGACCACACCCAGTCGGGTAACAGGCGGTCCAATGGTCATGTTCAACATAACATCGCAGATCTAAACAATATACAAGTTTGCAATAATCCATGGGAATAGCTTTGCGGGCGATAGACCTACCTCATCAATGGTTATTGTGGCATGTGGACTGTTGTCCTTGTTGTACTGCACAACGCCAGCAAAGTTGCCAGCCAGATTCTCAAATAGATTGCCAATATCCAGCTGGTTCTCAATGGAGTCCTTGATGGGCGTGCAGGTTCTAAGGGGTACAAAGCCAATAGCATTAATCTTTCACAACCATTTCGTTACCTACTTGAACTTTTCATCCAGATTGCGCTGTCCGATCATGTGCTTTAGCAGTATCTCCACCTGGGCAAAGCTGCGGGTCACCGCCTCCACACAGTCCGGGTTGTAGGCAGCCAGGGAGGCCTTCACCACCTCGAAGTACTCCCTGAAGTCGACCTCCGCCAGCAGCGGACCACTGGAGCTGATCGAACCGTAGATTAGATGCGGATACTTCTCACGTGCCCATGCCGCAAGCGAGCCCGGATAGGAGCCGCCAAAGGCAATCCATTTCTGGGTCTCAGCCAGATTGTACTGCACCTTCATGGCAGCCACAAAGTTGGCCAAATCGGCCAGGGCCTGCTCCGAGCTGAGGTACGCCAGATTGGCAGTGGACAGGTCGCTGGTCGGATGGCTCTTGCCGTAGAAGCGATGCTCCAGCTGAATGCACAGCGCACCAAAGTGCTCGGCGTAATGTACCCAGGCGCCCTCTCGCATCCACTTTGCCGAGGCCTCGCCTTCGCCGCCAATCATCAGGAATATGGGTGCCGTGGTGTCATTCCTGTAGTAATCTGCATTCACAAAGTAGCGCTGCTGCCAGGTCTGGGTGTTACGCGCCTGAAAATGATCCAGACGCTGCTCAAACCACAAATCCTCCGAGGACAAAGAACGCTGCAGTGTGGGCATCCGGCTGGGATCGCCCATGAATCCATTCACCAGTCTGCCTCGGCGAAAGTTCAACGCAGAGCTCTGCGCGATTAGGCAGAGCAGGAGCAGCCCCAGTCCCAGGGGCTGACGTACGCCCACAAATCGGAACATTTCAAGTCTCCTTTGTTTTTGCTTAGGTCAACAGGCGGGTAGATCGATTTATTTGATTAACTCAGTGTCGTGTGCCCGTTTCTGACGCTGGCGCTCGTCTAACTGTAAAAATCAAAATCAGTATTCTTGCTATATATATAGTACAGTTTTTACCATCGACCCATCTATGTTATTGCTCTCCTTTTTGTTTTTGTTTTCCTTTTTTCCTTCTTATTTCTCTTTGCTTTTTAATTTCGTTGCCGGCAGAGAGCGAGAAACAGCTGACTACACAAAATACCTTCTCATTTAAATCAAATACTGTTCATCCTATATCATATTCCTCCATTTCGATTTTCTGCTTAATACTACCAGCTAGTTAGGATGCTGAGCGCTAAAACTATAATTTTATACGCTTGACGAATTCATTCTGCACAAGACTGGCTAGTTTCCATGGCCTATTTTTATTGTATTGTTCACAAAATAACTATTAAACTAAAAAGGTCATCCAAAAAAGGCATTAAATTGTAGCAGTGAAAATTCCCATGTGGCGAAAGAGCAACATCGAAAAGCCATCAAAAACATACCGAAATATACATTCACATTTTTATAGGGCTATTTTCACTTTGCTATACTATTTAATATTAAAAGCTTGAATTCAATTGTTTTATTAAATAAGGTAGTGACTGACTTGGAGGTTCCGTAGAGTATAAAATTTACCATACTAGAGAAATAGCACTGCTTTTCAACAGTATCTGCATGGGATTTTGCAACACTTATTTATAAAAGCGCGCGCTTGTTGTGAATTTAAAAGAGAAGAAAATAAATAAATAAAAGAAGACTAAGATAAAATGACTATAAGCTAACCAATTAATTACAAAGGTATCCATTTGAAATGTCAATGCTATGACATTTTAAGTCATTCCCACCTTTGGGCTGTGATTCTAATGAAATTTTCGCTGAAATATTTTATTGCAGACTTGACAGAAAATCGTATTTATTGACACGCAACCACAGAGCCCTAATTGAATTTGGCCAGCATGCAACATATAAAAGACACCACCGAAGGGTATGCCAATGCAGTTTAACCCAGTGGACGCCCCCGTCCACGGTGACGCCTTCGGTGAATGTCAAGTGAATCGCGGTCATGGAATCCCTGTGCAATGCCAGTGAGCCACCACTCCGTCCGGCGGCTCGCATGTCCTCGGGCAGCGATGAGCTGCAGTTTCTGGGCTGGAACGTGCCACCGGATCAGATACAGTACATACCGGAGCACTGGCTGACCCAGCTGGAGCCGCCCGCCTCCATGCACTACATGCTGGGCGTCTTCTACATCTTCCTGTTCATTGCCTCGACCCTTGGCAACGGGATGGTCATCTGGATATTCAGCACATCCAAGTCCCTGCGCACACCCTCGAACATGTTTGTGCTCAATCTGGCCGTCTTCGATTTGATTATGTGCCTCAAGGCGCCCATTTTCATCTACAACAGTTTCCATCGCGGCTTTGCGCTGGGCAACACCTGGTGCCAGATTTTCGCCTCCATTGGCTCCTACTCAGGCATAGGTGCGGGCATGACAAATGCAGCCATTGGCTATGATCGCTATAATGTAATAACCAAGCCAATGAATCGCAATATGACCTTCACGAAGGCCGTCATGATGAACATTATCATTTGGCTGTACTGCACGCCGTGGGTTGTGCTCCCACTGACACAGTTCTGGGATCGCTTTGTGCCAGGTGAGTGCGAGCCTCATTCTCTACTCTGATATAACACGCAAAAGCTAGAGTAAAGTCTGTGGGCTGTGTCTCTCCTATTGACTATCCTCATCGGTTGGTGTAATTATCACATTCAATGCCAAATTGCCATCCTCGGAGAACAGCTCCACGGTGGATTTGTTGAGCACCAAAAAGTCCGCATTGGTAAACGTCACAAAGCTCTCGCGTATGGAGCGTGGCTTGGACTGCCAGCGTAGTGTGCGATTGTTCGATTCCAACAAGATGCTGTAGTCAAACTCCGCGGCATCGCGCATTGTGCCAATCATGCGGCAGGCGGCAAAGAACTGCTGACAGCCCTCGCCCAGATGGATCTTCTCCAGCGAGAGCAGAAACTGGCGGCCGTGGCAGGACTGCACCATGGTCCAGTCGAGAGCGCCCTCCAGATCCACATTGGTGGCCAGAAAGATAATGTCATGGCCCTCCATTGTGATGACATTCTCGTGCCTGGCAATCAGATGGCCAAAGACATCTTCAAGCGGGCCCTCCCACTCGCACTTCTCGTCCGGATAGGGGCAAAAGAAGGGTCGATATTCGCAGTCATCCTCGTGCCGCTTCTTCTCCGAATAAGTCAGAATCAGCTTGCAGCCGCAGTGCGAGTGTTTGCAGGGAAAGAACAACTTGGAGGCCACATTCTCCATGGCAATGTTGCGGATGTTGCTCATTGGCACGCGGCACACGGGGCACAGGGTGAGCTTGTGGCGGCAGCCGGAGCAAATCAAGTGGCCCCTCGAGCACTGCATAATCGGTGGCATGATGTACCCAAAGCACACGGGACACTCCAGCAGCGACAAGTAGAAGTCGACCAGTGGCCCCTCCATGGGAGCCTCAACTCGCACCACAGCATTCTCCTGCGGCTGTTCCTGTCGCACACTGGCGGCCAGATTCGGACTCGAATTCGAGATCGAATTCGGTAGCATGCACATCTGCACGAGCGCCACTGAGCCGGGCTTGGGCACAAGTTCAAGTCCTGACCCTGTCCCTTCATTTGGGTTGGGGTTTGTTGCTTCTGCTACTGATGCTGGGGCACGCGCTGTGGGCAATTCCGGCGCTGACTGGCGACGTGGCAGCATCTCCGCAAAGTCCTTATAAAAGCCTCGAATTAGCGCTAAGGCGTTTTGGTATTTCAGTTCTGTATAACGTTGAAACATTAAATTTTGCTTCAGCTCCAAATAATTCTGCTCAAAATTTATAATTTATACAATTAAATTTTTTTTGGTGTTTTTGTTTGTACAAATTTAGGACTGAATAAAATGCGTTCGCCTGTCCTGACTGTAAATTTATGAATGACTGTTACACATAATAATACTAAGCAAAGGAAATGACGACGTGATGTAAGGGTATTTGTTTGGGTAACGAAAGGAAAAGAAAAACCTACTTTGATGCGTATTTTTAGTAGACTTCCTGCAGCATTTTGTTGTTTTTTTTTGCTTTTAGCAATTATAAATATTCTTAGTTAAATTTCTGACTGCAAAAAGGAGAAATTTCTGGTTTCTTTTGCTCTAAAACTTTACTTTCTAAATTAACTTGCTTTATATTCATTTAAAAATAAGTAAAATATGATCGTTAATACTTTTTACTAATCACGTTTATTTCACTTTTCTGTAGTTTTTCTGTTGTGTATTTGATGGTAGCTGGGCAGGGGGAGTAGGGTTCGAGGTTGGCGCATTAAAAGCTAAATATGGTGCGCGATGCCTTAAAACATTTCGTCATTCAGCAGCCAAGTTCGAAATGTGAGCCGGAACAGTGTTGGGTTGGATCTGGGTTGGGTGTTCTGTGGGTTCGGTCAGTTGGGATAGGGTTTAGGGGTACTGTCTTTTAGCATTGCAAACAATATGGTTACATTTTTCTTTCAATTTCTTAGTGGGAATTTGGCATGCACACAAAAAAAAACTATCTCCTTCACTCAAACAACTCTCGAGTTATTACAGATTTATCATCAATACAATTTCCTTTTGCTGTGGATAATTTGTTGTTTAAACTGATTTTACTTATTACCATTTACAATTATTTGTATGTATAAAATAATTTACATTAACTAAACTAGACTTTGCTGATTGGTGTTCTGTGTGTGTGTTGTTTACGTGTGTGTGTGTGTGTGTAGGTAGGTGTTTAGGTGGTGATGTTTGTGGATCTGGTGGGCACAATGGTCACGTGTAGGCAGCTCCGCTCCAGGTGTGGCCCGACGCAGACGCAAGACAGCTTAACAATTAAAATTAAACTAAAAGCAGAAATAACACCATTGAAGAAACATTGAAATAGTATATGTAATATGTGTGTGTGTGTATGTGTGGAATATATGAACAATTTAAACCTAGAGCTAGTACCAATCGAGCGGGAGAGCACTTCCTCTGCCACTGTTCTCTGCTGGCCCTTCCACAATCGAAACTTACATTCAAAAAATATCTAATTAAATGTTATTATATGCAATTATTATATATATGTATGTGGATAGATGGGTTGGGGTACAGGAAGGGCTGTGCTGTGATGTTTTATGAGGGTAGTGTGTGTGTGTGTGCATATAGAACGAAGAATCGTTTTTAAAACGATTCTAATGCTGCTCTTCTCTGGCCTTCCTCTGACATTCTTTCGTTTCTTTGAATGAATCTACGAATTAAACGTATGATGCGAACAAAGGCGCTAAACTATAGTTATTATATGGTAGGTATTATATTTATACGACAAATGTTTAAAATAAACAAAAATAAACAATTAAATTGGGCGATTAACGCGAGGCGCGATGCGCTGTGTGTGGGTCTGGGTCTCTGCCTAGACCAGAGAGATGGTCACATTGATGCCCAGATTGCCATTGTCGGCAAAGAGCTGCGCAATCGATGTGTCGAACACCAGGCAATCCGAATTGTGTATGGCGGAGGCAACGCCCTCGTGTATGGAACGCGGCATTGCCTCCCAGGTGAGGCGCCGACGATTGCCGTTCAGCTCGAGGCGGTACACAAAGTTCTCGGCCTCCTTGCGCGATCCAATGAGCTGGACAATAGCGAAGAACTGCTGGTGTCCGTCGTACTTCTCCTGCTTCTCGAGGACGAGCATGAAGTGGTGGCCGAAGCAGGACTGCATCATCACCCAGTCGACGGCGCCGGGCAGATTGATGTCGGTGGCCAGAAACACAATATCCTCGCCCTGCAGCGTGGTGATGCTCTTGTGGGACATCATCAGGTGCTGCATGACTAGGTCGAGCGGTCCCTGCCATTTGCAGGAGGCCCCCGGGCAGGGGCATAGGTAGGGGCGACACTCGCAGGTCTCCTCGTGCTCGGTTTTCTCCGTGTAGACGAGTGAGGCGGTGCAGCCGTAGCCCGAATGCTTGCACGGGAACTTCACATTTGAGGCGACCTTCTCCATGGCCAGGTTACGGATATTGGCAAGCGGGCCGCGGCATGTGGGGCAGCAGGTGAGCTTGGAGCGGCACGAGACGCACACCAAGTGCCCGCTCGAGCATTGCAGGATCGGGGGCAGCACATAGTCAAAGCAAACTGGACATTCGAAGAGTGATGTTAGATCGGCGGACATGCCCGCATCACCGCCACCGGCGGAAGACAGCGAGGAGCTGGACGATGAGGATGTGTTCGCCGAGGAGGTGTTGCCGGCACTGGAGCCGGTCGAGCTGCTCGTGTTGGTGGCCACTGCCGTTGGTGCTCCTGCTGCTGCTGCGGCTGCTGTCGGTTCACGGCGTTTCGGGTTGATTTTATTTGACATTGGAATTTTTCTCTCTTCGCAAAACGAATATCTCTATGGGTTCTGTGTAAATCTCTCTATTCTCTTCCTTGGAGTCCCTTCCTGTGCGGAGGGCCAGTCCGTTCCGGTTGGTCCGGGAACAGTTATTTGTGCGTTGCGTACCTCTCCTTCCGCTGCTGCTGCTACGACACTGCAAAATAAATCGAATTCGAAATTGAATGAGTAATGTGTGACACGTCGTTTGTGCGAGTAGTTCAACTTGGTGGAGCCTCTACTGCCAAGAGCAAACAATTAATCATGCCCTGGCCTTCACCTTGCCGCGGATCCCCCCCAAATTGTTGGCATTACCAAAACGAAAACATGAAATGCTAGCCATAGGAATTGCATTTAAGCAATTATTTAACTGGAAACGTATCGAACAAAGTTTAAGTCCAAGTCGAAGCCGAAGCCGAGGTCAGGCGTCACGTCGAGACCCAAAGAAAATACTTCTGGGCGGCACGGTAGTACGGCGGCACGTGTGTAACGAAGCAAATACTCGCATGCGAGTGTGTGTGTATGTGTGTAGGGTCTTATCAGGCGAGCCCTGACGCTGATGGACGGCCGTTAGGGACGACGACCCAAAACGCAACGATTGTGGGTGGCTACGAGGGGTGGGGTGGGTGAGGAATGGTATGGGTGTGGCGTCGTCCACAACAAAGTTCACACACAAATGCACGTATGGATATGATGGCATGAGCTATTTCTTTGTTTATGCGATTACTAACTTACGATTAGAATAGATAAATGATTTAGCAGTGCGCAATGACGTTAATCTCATTATGTTAAACTTTGAACATATTAAAGTTACACAATCAAACATTTCATAACTTTCATTTGAGGCAAAACCCAAGCCAACATCGTTTTACACACCCAAAATCTATCACTATAAAACGCACTTCATAGACTTTGTGCCGCATAAACGATGCATATGCCTACGACACGCAACGAAAAGCGCGTAACATATGCATCAAGGGGAAATGAATAGAACGAAGTAGGAGGAGGAGGTGGAAGCGACCAAGAGACCAGCATAAGCACAGACATCACACACACATGCAACACACACATGCAAGCGAGCACTGAATCGCAAGCACACACACACAACAAACACATAATTAACTGTTCGTTTACGCCATGTACCGTATGAAATATGTCCATATGAAGACTTTCCTCAAAGACTCAACTTTGGAGGTAAAATGGTAATTACTGCCACAAAAGCCACAGCCATGAATATAATTAACTTTACTGTATGCGCGAAGCTTCTTTTTCAATGAGTTGCAAAATAAAGTGTATTAAAAAATAGAAAACGTAAGTTGCAGAGCAGAGCGAAATGCTTGAGCCGCCATTAACAAACATTAAAGAGTAAGAGCAAGAGCTATTTCAACGGCAGAGACAAACATTAGGCTGCACTTCTGCAGCATAAACAAGCACAAAATACATAATCGTAAATGTAAACTTACATAGCAGGCTGCCTCCTGTGTGTTGCTACGGGTGCGCTGGTGATTCTGTGCGTGTGCGTGTGTGTGTGTATGTGTGAATGGCTGGGGTTTTTTTATCAGTCAACCTTTATGGCAATGCACTGACCCATCCCGTTCGGATACGTCTCTTTTTTTCTTTTACTATAAATCAATGCAGGTGGTTTTTCTTTCGCAGGAAAAACGGCACGCACACCCGAGAGCAAATGGATACTGTTTTGATTGCTTTTCGCCTTTGGTTCACCTTGCGCCAAACTCGAATTTCAGGCGTGCGCTAATTTCATTTGGCTTTTTTATCTAATTTTCTTTTATTCGCCTCTCGCGCACACAGCCATTGAATACAAGTTCGCTTTTGTTGCTGTTGCTACTGCTGGCTGGCTGCGTCGGCTGCTGCTGCTTCTACTGCTACTGTTGTGTTTGTGCTGGTTTGTTGTTGTTCTTTTTGTTGCTGCACGAAAATATCATATCATTTGCATTTACTTTACACACAGCAGCGAGTTGAATTTTTTTTTGTAATTCACTATTTGCGTTCCTTCTACTCGCCCCACCGTTTTCTTTATTGCACTCGCGTTTGCTCGAGAGGAACTTCAGTCTTTTCAGCCACTATCAACTGCGTTTTTTCGCTAGCATATTATTTTATTCAGTTTTTTTACCTATTTTTTTTGCTAAGTTTCTTCGTCCGCGTCGTACAGTGTGACCGCGGAATTATCGATAATATATACCGTCAGACCCTCAACAATACATCAAAATATACCATCTAATCTTAAAAATATACCGTAATATACCGTAGTCATATCGTTAGAAAGAAAAAAATATGGGTACTTTTGTGCGATAAGCTGAGAATATTAGGCGGCAGCATACCTTTATTTTGAAAATAATATTCACTTTCTTTCGCTCGTTGCAGAGGGATATCTCACATCCTGCTCGTTCGACTATCTCTCGGATAACTTTGACACCCGCCTCTTTGTGGGCACCATCTTCTTCTTCAGCTTCGTCTGTCCCACGCTGATGATTCTGTACTACTACAGCCAGATAGTGGGACACGTCTTCAACCACGAGAAGGCGCTGCGGGAGCAGGCCAAGAAAATGAACGTGGAATCGCTGCGCTCCAACGTGGACAAGAGCAAGGAGACGGCCGAGATACGAATTGCCAAGGCAGCCATTACCATTTGCTTTCTGTTCTTCGTTTCGTGGACGCCCTACGGCGTGATGTCCCTCATCGGCGCGTTTGGCGACAAAAGTCTACTGACCCCCGGCGCCACAATGATTCCGGCGTGCACGTGCAAGCTGGTGGCCTGCATAGATCCATTTGTGTATGCCATCAGTCATCCCAGGTACCGCATGGAGCTGCAGAAACGTTGCCCCTGGCTGGGTGTCACCGAGAAGTCCGGCGAGGCTGCCTCGGCCCAGTCCACGACCACGCAGGAACAGACACAGCAGACCTCAGCGGCATAGAAAAATGATTCTGACAGAAACGAACTTGTAATACAATGGACAATGGAAACTATAACAAAACGATTTAAGGATAGAGGCTAAGCCCGAAGGAGAATTATGAATTAATTTTATGATTTGTAGTTCCACATTTGATTTGTTGATAAACTAGTGAATTATGGCAAAGGATACAGAGAGAGAGAGAGAGAGAGGGTTATCAGTTAGTCAATTATTTATTCATTCGGTTAATTCTGCTCGCTGGGTAATTAATATCTTTCAGATGCGATACCCATCCACTTCCCCTTATCAAAGATTCCCCCACAATGAGTCTCAGCACTCATTGATTCACCAACAGCAAATGCAGTTCGATCACAGAGCGGTAGTCGTTGTGCGACAGCTCGCCTTGCTGCGATCGCTGCAGCACGCGTTTCAGTCGCTCCAGCATATCCGGGCGGGTCGTTATCTTGAACAGCTCATCGATGTACCGCATCGACTCGCGCGACCAAAAGACTGACGGCATGTTGGCATCCAATCCGCGAGCATTAGGCTTCACCTCGCCTAGGAGTCGCGCGAATGGATGATCGGGATTGCGCAGCTGTAGATCGGCCCGCGCACGTTGCTGGGGATTGTTGAAGGGCATCTGTATGGCCTGGCCACGTTTCGGTTGCTGCTGCTGTTGGGATGCTCCTGGACGCTGCTGCTGTTGTTGGCCTTCTCCTGGACGCTGCTGCTGTTGTTGCTGCTGCCCTGCTGCTGCACGTTGCTGCTTTTGGGGCTGTCCTGCACCTGAACGCTGCTGCTGCTGTGCTGTTCCTGGACGCTGCTGCTGTTGTCCTCCTCCTGGACGTTGCTGCTGTTGTGGGGATCTTCCTGCTGCCTGCCTTTGCTGTTGTTGGGTCTGTGCCGCGCCTGCACGCTGCTGCTTTTGTGCCTGTCCCGCTCCGCCTGCACGCTGTTGCTGCTGCTGTTGCTTCGTCTGCTGCTTGGGCGGCGGTGGCGGTGCCATATGCTGCCAGGCTGGTGGCGGTGGAGTTGGCGAAGCAGCCCGCTTGTTGCTTGCCTGTGGCGCCTGCTGCTGGCCTCTACCCAGCTGTAGCGGTGGCAGTCCCAAGAGCGCCGGATCAATGTTCAACGTGTGCAAACGATTCTTCTGATCCATGCGGACATAAGTCTCCAGCAGCTCCTCGTACTTGGGATGCGGATAAGCGGTGAAGATCATGCGCCAATGGTCTTCGATTTCGGTGCGCAGTGCCGGCGAAGCGTTGTCGTCGGGCGAGAAATCTTTGAGTAGAGTCTGCAAAAGCACCAGCAACTGGTCCAAGTGCGTGCCGCCATTCAGCAAGCCAGCCTGCCCCACCAGAATCATGTTGAGTTGGCGCCGCTTCTTCTCCGCACACTTGAAGCCGTTCTTGGTGTTCAAATTCTCCTGCTGCTTGATGCTTCTGTACAGGGCCTTAGCATTGCCCAAATGACTGTTGAGGCTGATGATGCCGTCCCTGAGGAAGCGAATGAGAACATCGACGCGTTTCGGTGGCTTTTGGGACTGGAACTCAACGGTCTTGCGCTTCACCTCCTGATGACGATGCAGCAGCTTCAGTTGCAAATCCTCCTGATGCTCCTTCAGGCCGTAGATGACCAGAACGTAGCCATAGGTCATCAGATCCATGCGCACAGTCACCTGGCATTGCTTGGCGGTCGCCTCAAGGAACTTCCAGCCCTCTGGACTGAACAAGTACTCGGACAGATCGCGCGCCATTATAATCTTACCCTCGCAGGGCACATCCGGCAGCTCAGTGTCATCCCCACTGTCACCCATCCGGTCCATGTGCCGGCTGTTGACACACATCGAAATGCCTTGGCTGTTGGAGGAGATGTTGAAGTCATCGTCATTGCCGCCGGACAGGGGTATAATATCGGGCATTCGGCCCATGGGGCGGCTGTTTTTGCGCGTCTTCTCGATGGGCATGTCCTGCTCCTCGCTTGTCGTGGACGTCGGCAGCTCAAAGTGCTCGGAGAAGCTGTAGTTCGAGTCCGAGTCCAGCTCATGGGCGCCCACAGAATGTCGGCTGGTGCTGGCCGTCGGTTTGGCAGCTTCCTCTGCCTGCAAGTCGAAACTGGTGGAGATCTCCTCGCGCTGTATCGCAACGGGCGGCGCTTCTTCCATGGTCTGCTCGACTTCATTTGGCTGCTCCTCCGCTTCTGGGGCCACCACTGGCTGCGGTTCGGGAACTTGCTGCGGCTCTGGAACTTGCGGCGGTTCGGGAACTGGCTGCGGTTCGGGTACTCGCTCCGGATGTGGAACCTGTTTCGGTTCGGGAACTTGTTTCGGTTCAGTCACTCGCTCTGGCTCCGTGGCCTGCTCTGGCTCTGGAACCTCCTCTGCTGCAGGCGCCTTCTCCTGTGCCAAAGTTGCCTCAACATCAACAATTTGCTGTGTTCCATGAGCAGCCCTCGCCTGTGCATTGGACACATAATCATGTGTATAAACCTTAGCTTGCACCTCTTCCGTATTGGCAGTGACTGTAGCCTTGCGCTTGGTGCTCTGTGGTCGTGCAAGATTGGTCTGAGTGAGGAACCTCGCATAGTAGCAGTTCTTGGGTATATTCGGATCGCTCCACACAAAGCTAAAGGGCGTATCGTTGGCAAAGAACGATGACAGATCACCCAAATAGCCGAGATTTCCGCTGCGATCCTTGTAGGTCTTCTGGTGCGACACAATGTGCGAGGTGTAGGTTTGATTACGAAACTCGCCAATGCGCTGGCGGCAGTTCTCAAAGAGATGTCCACGTCCTGCGCAATAGCTGCACATCTTTGCATTGTACTTGACATGGCTCTGCAGCGGCACATTCGAACGGATCTAATGGGGGGAGAGGAATGCTTTAATTGATTGAATCTTTGTAGGCTTTGTTGCTGCCACTTACCGTTGAGTGATAGCGACGCCACTTGTCCGGGCAATGGTCCATGCCATGGCCACGCATTTTGCACAGCTGACAGATGAGGCGACTGTGAAAGGAGCACTTGTTGCACTGCTGCACATAGATCGCCTGCTTGGCGCCGCACTGTAACGAAATTTCGCATGAATCTTGGTAACTTCCCTCTTAACTTTTGACCTTGTCTTACACCCAAACAAATGGCATTGGGGCAGCGTGGCTCGGCATGCCCCGCCTGGCCGCACATGTGACAGACCAGCGGCTTGCGTGGACGCGGACACTTGGAGCGCATGTGACCCATTTCGGCGCAATTGGTGCACTTGGCGCGCGAGCGATGACGCACCACTGGATAGCGATCCTCGTTTAGGATTCTCCACTCCTGGCGACGTGCTGGAAATTACAGAAAGTTGTGTTCAGACATTCATTTGCTGTCCATTTGCTTACCATTCATGGCTCTTTGTATCTTGTGCACATTGAAATGCTCGCCCTGCCAGCTGTCGTTGTAGAAGCAACACATTTCCTCATTCCAGCCAACCAGCTGCCCGCCCGTTAGCGCAGGCTCGTCTGTCAGCTGCTCGATGTTGTGCTCCACTTTAATCGTTTCTCCTATGTCGATCTCGAACTCCAGCTCCCCCTCTTCGTCTTGCTGCTGTTGCTCCTCTTCCTGCTGCTGCTCCTCATCCTGCTGCTGCTCCTCCGCCGGCCTGGTAGTGTCTGCCTCCTCCGCTTCTGGGCCAGCATCAACGCGCTCGAAGATGGCCAACACGCGATCGTTGACGGCATTGTTGAACTCTGCCTCATTTTGGGAGTCTGCATCGCTGCCAACGGATAGAGTTTCCAGCTGTTCATCCGCCTGTGCCTCGCGCAGCTGCTGCACCTCAGCCTGTCTCTCTGCCCTCTCCTTGGCCTGTTCCTGCTGCAGCAGACGCTCGGCAATTGCCCGTGCACTGGGCAGTTCATCCTCCGAAGCGGAATTCGAGCTAGACTCTTGTATGGCCTTAAGATTAGCTCTCCTCTGTATGTCCTCCGAGTTGCGGCGTGCACTGACGCGTCGTATCTTGCGCTTGCAACGCTCCACAGCCATGCCGCGGGCAATGCCTGGCACTCCTGTCGGCTGCACACCATCCTCGCTGTCCGTGTCGTCCTCGTCCTCGTCATTGTTGGGCTCCGACTGGCTTTGGTTTGTGCTCGAGGAGCGACGCTTGCGCAGACGCTTCATTTTGTTCACATTCGGTTCGATGACTTCCTCCACATCAGAGCTATCCGAGGGCGACTCCACGCTGCGTATGATGGTGGGCGTGGCCTTTGCCTTGGCCTTCGAGTAGATGCCGCTCTCGGTGAGAT